CTTTTAACTTTTTTTTTTTAAGGGGATCTTAACCCTTGATTTGGTGATGTCAGCACCACACTCTCCCAAGTGAGCCAACCGGCCATCCCTATGTAGGGACCCGGACCCATGGCCTTGGTGTTATCAGCACCGCACTCTCCCGAGTGAGCCACGGGCCGGCCCTGGATGAAATATTTCAAACATGGCCTTCACCACAAGGAAGGGAAATGGGGAGTGTAGAGGGTGAGCTTTTCAAAAGAACAAACTCCACTCCAAATTTTTATTGAGCAGTTGCTACTACTCGCCAAGTACTCTGGTGATTGTTTTGCAGTAGCTGATGTCAACTCACTTATGTAGATGAGAACACTGACTCGCTCAAGGTCACACAGCTAGTGAGTGGTTGACTCCACAGACTGTTTTGTAGTTCTGACCATCTTGGAGGACGAAGGGAAAAGGGATGTCCTTGACAGGGTAGCCAGGATTGCCAAGCCACATAGATGTGGCTGGCCACAGGCAGTCAGACAGGGAAGCTGTCTGACCTACTATTTGCCTGTCTATTCTGGTTTTGATCCTAAAATTACTTCACTGGGGACAGAATTCTCTAGAGAAGTTGGTGGTGGTTGTGATGTGGCTGTGGCATTAAGAGCCTCAATCTGGGGAACAGGAGATCTTGGGTTCTGGTCTTTCCTCTGACATTGACTTACTATATGACATTGAACAAATTATTCACAAATAACAGGTTTGAGTGATCTCTACAGGGTCTCTTCCAGCTCCACTTTAAAAAACAGATTGAAAATCGCAGCTCCAGCTGGAAGACTGCCCGGGCCACGTGAGGTGAAGCTAATAGAAGAAAGGGCCCTGGAATCAGAGAGAGGTGTGTTCCAGTCCTGTGGACACTTCCTACTGGCCTCAACCTCTTTATGCCTCAGTTGCCCATCTATCAAATGGAAATAATACAGCTCTCGGGTTATTTTGAGATGATATTAAATGAGGTGGTCATTGTCAAATGCTTAGCACGGAGCCTGGCACAGTAATCTCCAGTGCCCAGCATCTATTGTTAGTATTATTACCCTTCCCATCTGTATGGCTCAAGAAACATTGGTTTTATTAATTGTACGTGAGCCTCACAACAACACAGGAAAGCGTTTGTGATCATTACTCCCACTTGGAAACTAAAGCTTTGAGAGGTGGTCCTGACCCAGTGAATCGATTTGTTGATCACTGACCTAACTAGTTAAGAAAGACTAGATAAGGACCGGCCCTTGGCTCACTTGGGAGAGTGTGGTGTTGATAACATCAAGGCCACAAGTTTGGATCCCTATATAGGGATGGCCGGTTAGCTTACTTGGGAGAGCGTGGTGCTGACAACACTAAGTCAAGGGTTAAGATCCTCTTACCGGTCATCTTTTTTTAAAAAAAGAAAGAAAGAAAGGCTAGACAAAAAAAAAAAAAGAACTAGTTGTAACACCAAGGTCAACGGTTCAGATCCCCATACCAGCCAGCCGCAAAAACAAACAAACAAACAAAATCCCCACTAGGTAAAGGGTAAAAGTCCTTTCCTAGCCCAGGTCCGGCGGGGCTGGGATTGGAACCTGGAGCAATTGAAATCGAGCAGGTCCCATAACCCACCTTGACCCTACCAACTATCAACCAGGGGGTCACCGGGTCGGCTCAATGCCAGGGGGCGGGACCGTGGGCAGGCCGCCCGCCCGCAGGTGCGCCCTCAGCCAATCGGCGCTGCCGGGGGGCGGTGCCTTCGAGGCTCACCTGGCAGCTGCGGCGAGGCCGGGCTCAGTGGCGTCGGGAGCCGCGGGTTACCTGTGAGTTCGCGGAAGTCCGGTCAGACTCTACCCCGGCTCAGCCCGGCCCAGCCCGGCCCGACCCGACCGCGCCCAGCCCCTGCCT